ACAAGCGTTACTTAACAACCAATCCAAACAGGAACTTTTTTTCGTTAATAAAGTGCTCTTTTGCTTCCTTTTTTAACCGCAAAATATGATGAAATGGTTTCTTTATTTTTGTGTATCCCAGGTACGACCTACTTAGTATGCGCGGCTATATATTTCGCCACATGTGTTAAATTATTTAATTATAGCTTACAAAGTGGTATGCAGAGTGCCAATAAAAACTGCCAAAATATTTTTTCCGCCTTACACTGATGAGGCTGTACGTTGAGGACGGGTTTTACTGCGAGGAATTGTAGTGCACTTTTAAATATGAAGACAAAGCTTATTGAATTTGAGGAAGTTGCAAACAAATTAAAAGGGAATGCCCCTTTATATCCGTCGGTAGGAAAAAAAGGCTAAGTTGTCAACACCTAGTGAGTTATGGATGGTAGACTTGGCATATAGTAGGTGACCAAACTCCAGCAAAGTTAGGATCGAAATGAGATTTGGCTCTTGTTATTTTGACCTAATGAGCAGGAAGCCTTTTAGTAAGGAAAGCTTCAGGTTTAGTGCAACAAATTAAAAATAATAGGCAGACTGTTGACTAGATCAGGGGTTTTGCGCAAAGCCAACAAATCTCCTTTGCTACTAAAAACGACAGAACCAGACATTTTTGATCTGGAAAGGTTTTCAAAATATCCCTTCCATAGTAGGCACACCTACTGTTACCTTAATGAAAATCAGATGAAGTTCAGACAAAGCAAATGACTTATTTCAATTTTAAAGAGTATCTTTGTCACAAAGCATAGTCAAAAAAACTTTGGCCATATTTTCTTTTACTGTATGGATAATGTGTTCAGGTTACCCCTTAAGCATGGGAGCAAGACACTTCTTCATGCTATATAATGTACACGTAAGCGTTAGTTAAAAACCGAACAGACAGAAGGTTAAAATTGTTCACAAAATCTCAGTCTATACTCCGTCACTGTTATTTGCAATTCCAAAAGGGGGCATAAAAGTAACCAAGTATGGTCAGAAATGCTCATTAACAAAGAGAAAGGTGACTTGCTTCAATTTCGGCCAATATTGTGTCATTTAATCCTATGTGAATGAAACCTCTGGCCACAATTCTCCAACTTCACTTTCCTGTTACCTTTGAAAAGGTTACATACGCAGGTGTTTGTCAACTGAATATCTAATGAGAGGGCTTTCGTATGAGGTAATGCACTGTAGAAAGTTTTCTTAAATAAATATAAGACAGCAAAAACTCAAGTGGATGTTCTTTGTGCACGACGACTTGTTTCGGTGGCTCGGAGATTGTGTAATTAGGGGTCGTATTGTCA